GCGGATCTTCTGCGTCTGCCATGATGATAAAGAAACCACTCGAAATAAACTGGGAAACTCGAAAATAATAATCGTGCGTAAAACGTGTGCGCGTACGCAGTAGTTGATACCAACTAAACCTAATTCTCACTCGGCGTGCGGCGATGGCGTAACTACAATGATGAATAATAACAGCTCTATCTCACTCGTCTACTAAGTCAGCTCTTCTCGCTCGCTTTCTCGTCGAGCCGATGCCATAAAACAATCATGGCATGCGAGTCCTTTGAGGACAGTAACGACTTGTTCAAACAGGTAATACAAATTCCTTAAAAATCCAGCCTCTGTGGGTGTCATTGTTGTTTCTCTGCATGTACTTCAGATAATTGAACGCTTAATACCTCAAGTGAAAGCTTGTTAGATAGAGATATTATTTACATAATTTGCACATTTCATTACTAGGAGATTTTTTACAGAAAATTGCATTTTTTATCGAATAAGTTAGTAAAAAAAGAAAATGATACATTTATAAAGCGTAATTTTAAAACGTTTGTAGCTTTTCAACATTTTATTACTTATTATGAACTATTGAAGTGTCTGCTATGCGACGATAACAAAAAACTCAAAATCAGGCATGCAGTTTTTTTGTATTTCAATTTTAATCGTCTGAAATCGGAATAAAAAATAAAAAAAATTAAAATTCAAACAACTCAAAAATGGTTAACTTTTGGATAAGACATGATCGGTTGCTTTTGACCTAATCTATCACCCTTTAACAGGAATACGTGACATTACAATTCACCCTGTATAAAATAAACCTATTCCTGTAACAGATATAGACAATAACATTATTGTATGAAAAGAGTTGCTGTAAGTAAATTTAAAAAAAAATACAAAAAAACTGACTGTAGTAACTGAAAATGAAGATTGAGTTGTGCTATCAAGAGAAATCTAGAAACACTTATTATGTCAAAATCCATCAGACCATTTATGCTGAAACCTATAGAGTAGGAATATCAAAGTTGAAATGTTAGATTAAAATTTGCCTTTTTAAATTTATCAAGTTTTAGTATACCCTGTGTCACCCACACAATCAAGTCTAATTTAGACACACTTTATACATATGTTAACATCCATCATGCCATTTAAGTCTTTAAATCTGCTATTTATATTGACACCTAATATGTTAAAATTGATCGATTCGTTTAATCCGTAGCTGTAAAATAGAATTTTTTGTATACATACATACCTCTCCTTTTGAGGCAGTTGGGTGAAAAATGAATCAAATTCTCTTAACCCTAGAATACTAACGTTTCTTCAACATACGTAAACACTAACCACACGTAAAATTTACGTACTGATTCATTTAGGTCTACTATTTTCTGTTTATTTCAATACAAATTGAAACAAAAAATTTTATTTGGGTTCGAAACTAATGAAAAAAAACCTTGGAATATTAACATAAACAAAAACATCATAAAATACATAGTCATGCCATAAGTTCTGTCCCTCGTTTTCAAACAAGTGTAGACCTGTTAATACTTGTCCGATTGTTTACATTGTGGTGTCAGTTGATTAAGCGCTTTTCGGGTAATTACATATACCTCAGTTTGTATTGATCTCTCGAAGCATAACGATGGAGTGGGGCAAGGCAGAGAACCGTATTGCAGTGATAGCTTTACATAAGTGTAATCACAGTGCTAGTCAGATTTTTGAACTCTTACGCGGCCTTCAAATATCGCGTAAATTTGTGTCTAGGACCATTCAGCGGTACAATGAGACGTCCTCTGTTGATGACAAGCCAAGAAGCGGAAGACCTCGTCAAGTAAGGACTCCAGCAGCCATCAAAGCAGTAAAAGCCAGGATTCAAAGGAATCCACTCCGGAAGCAGAAGATCCTATCCAGGGAAATGAAGATTAATATCCGGACGATGTCGCGCATCATTAAACAAGACATAGGGCTAGGGGCTTACCGGAGACGTACGGGCCAGCGACTTACGGCCACCTTGCGACACATCAGGGCGACAAGATCCAAGAAGCTCTTGGAGAGGTACGCAGCTGGGGGATTCCGAAAGATTTTGTTCACGGATGAGAAAATCTTCACCATAGAAGAAAAATTCAACCGACAAAATGACAAAGTGTATGCAAGGAGTTCACAGGAAGCTTCGGAGATCATTCCGAGAGTTGAGAGAGGCCACCACCCTGCGTCAGTCATGGTTTGGTGGGGGGTGTCCTACGAAGGGGTCACTCAGCTCCATTTCTGTAAACAGGGCGTGAAAACAAAAGCGGCAAACTATCAGAGCGACATACTGGATCCTATCGTCAAGCCTTTAAGTGGTACATTGTTTGCCAACCAACACTGGGTCTACCAGCAGGATTCCGCCCCCGCTCACAAGGCTAAGAGTACGCAGCGCTGGCTGGAAAGCAATGTGCCAGAGTTCATTGCTGCGGAAGATTGGCCCTCAGGGAGTCCGGACCTCAATGCTTTAGACTACAAGTTGTGGGACCTGCTAGAGCAGTTGGCCTGCTCCAAAGCCCACCGTAATATCGAGTCCCTGAAAGCGGATTTGATCCGATCAGCGGCAGCTATTCCTTTGGAAGCTGTGCGTGCAGTGATAGATGAGTGGCCCGCGAGATTGAAGCAGTGTGTGAAGGCCAAGGGGGGACATTTTGAATAAAACTGTTTGATTATGAATTCTAAAAATGTTGTCGAATAAATAATATCTTTCATATAAATATATCTTATCTTGTTTCATTTTTATCATGAGATTATCATGGGACAGAACTTATGGCACGACTACGTAGATACTTTTGGAACAGAACAGAATATCGTAATATGGACAAAACAAACTAGTACATATAAAAAACTAAAATAGGAACAATAACATAGCTATAACCTGGAGCCTTCTTTCACTGTCCACATTCCATACATATTTTTATTTGATGCTCGCCACACAAGGCACGCTCGCACTTATAACAGTTGGTAGTTGTCATTCGTTTCTTTGCTGTAGGGCACAAGCTGCAGTAAGTCCGTTTTCCTTTCCCTTGGGGCCCTCGGCGGTCTTCTGCAACACGTGGCAAATGTAAGAGCGTAGAAAGACTCTCTTTTAGACCTCTTGATAAAGTTGGTACTGTTTGGAGCCTTATTTGTTGCCACGGCTTTGTTAATTGTTCATGAAGTTTCAGCATAAAATTTAGCCTGGATAATGGCTCCTGTCTGTTTTTAGTTGCATTGTGGTGGTATATTACAGAAGCGTTTACTCCTGCAATATTCAGCATATTGTAAAAATTGCATAGCGGCCACCTTCTGGTCTTCCTATTACAGCAAATGTTCTGAGACATTTGATCAAATGTATCTACAGCTCCCTTAGTTGAATTATATGTATGGATTATTTCGGGCTTTGTTTCTTGATTGATGTTCCCAGAAAAATGCATCGTTGAAAGGAGAAGAACTGTCTTGTTTTGCCTAGGTTTATAAGATAATAAAGTCATGTTTTCATCGTACACAAACATACTTGAACCGCACTGCCAAGCTTTGTTATCCAGTAATTCAGGAGGTATTTCTCCTTTATTCTTTCGGAGTGTTCCTACCATTGTCAAATTGTAGGGCGGAGCTAATAATTTATTCGCAAGAGGGATGCTGGAAAACCAGTTGTCCATGGTCACATTACGTCTACTTCCATGTAAATGTTTCGTCAGACTTGTAACAAAATGTTCTAAAGGAATGCCGTTCTAGTAGATTTGCCAAGATACGGGGTCGTATTTAGTACATATTTCGTAGCCACATCGCAACGATAAGTATTTTCATGCCGTATTTACTAGGTTTGTTAGGCATATACATACGAAATGGACACCTGCCACGAAATCCTAGGAGCTGCTCGTCGATGGTGACATATGAACTAGCTTTGTAATTTTTGGCACATTTTTCAATGAATAAGTTCCAAATTTTAGATACTGGAGCAAAACTACTTTCTTTTTTACGTTCTTCTCTGGTCACGAAGTTGTCAAATCGTAAAGTATTTATCAGAAAGTTAAACCTTTCTTTGCTCATGGTTGCTTTATATCTATCGCCACAATAAGTGCCGTCAAACAAAACATCAGCTGAGAGGTGATTATTTTTTAAAGCTGCAGATAAAAATATCAAACCCAACAGCGCTTTCAGTTCAGGCAATGTCGTATCTGAAACAGTAGCATTTTTCGTCTTGTATCTCACTCGTAGCTCTGCAATTTTTTCAAACTTCGTCCAGAATCTCATCAGAGAAAAATAAATTGAAAGTATCTATACGCTCTATGGCATATTTGGCTGAATTTGTTTGTGTAAAGAAGGTTTATCTAATATTATTACAGGTATTTGTGGTTCACTAGGGCTCTCAGTAGATGTTGATTGTGATGATAGTGGCTGCGTAATTTTAATCCTTTTACGAGAGCACGTATTTCTTGCTTCTTTTTGAGTTCCTGCTGGTGTAGTTGTCCAGGTGTTAGCTAGTTGTGCGAAGACATTTTCTTCGTCATGTGCAGGATCATAGTCTCTATCTTCAATGCTATCATCACTGTCAAATGGCTCTTCTAACTCCTCTAGGTCATCTTCTTCTCCAATAACATAACTGAATTCATTATTTATAATATCCTCCAATTCTTTTTGAGTAAGAGGATGCTTTAGATCGTAGTTTGATTGTCCCGACATCATATTTATACGTTGATAATAAAAACATGTCAAACTTACGTAAAAAATTGTTTACGCAGATACTAAGCACATGTAAATTTTACATACAGAGTGTAAGACACACCACCGCCGAAGCCTAACCCAAACTAAAATCAAAACGGTTATGCATCTGTTTTAATGACCAAGAAGTGGGGATAGCATAGCAGACGTGGCAAAGAGTTGCCATGTTTAGCATTTTTTCAGTAGCCATCAGATTATAATCCGTAGTAAAATTTACGTACGTTAGTATTCTAGGGTTAAGAACCATAGCTGTTAAAAATTTTCTAATCTATTTACACATGTAATGTAGATGTAAAACTCACTTTTTTCATTTTTCTTTTCTGCTTCTTCGTTTTCTTTTCTAGCGCAATCTCCTTCAGAGCTTGTATCTGTTCATTAGTGAGGCTTTTATTATAGTCTGAAATTGTCTGGCTGTATTTTTCAGATTCAATTTTATAATTCTCTTTATATTTCTGCTTCTCTTCCTCACTCATGCTATTCCATTTTTCTGCACATTTTTTTACAACTTCTGTGATTTTGATATCAGGATTTTCTTTTAACACTGAATGTTTGTAATTTTCTACGAACCTCAAGTATGGTGATAAAGGTCTTTTTGGCTTGTCTGGGATGTTCAAACCTTTGAGTTTTTCAGTTGCAGTGACTGCAGATGCATGACTTCGTAGATTTAAGACTGCAGTATTGACAAGTGGGGCTCTATAGCTTAAAATCAAAGAAAGGCATACAGATTCAGATACAAATGCTTAATTGATCAGACCGGCAAATAAACCCCAAAAATTGCATGAAACTTCACTGTCGAGTGCTCCGGCTAACACAAAGTTTTATTAGGAGTGCCACGTTCTTGACTTGTTTTATCGGACAAAAGATTAATGAAGGTTACCTGCTCATTTTCAGTGATCTTTGAAATACAAGCAAGTAAAAATGTACGCTAACGAATTTACCCACTACAACACATTTTTTACATACCTGTTATTTAATAGCACCTTATTGGGTGTGAAATTGAAAGACTTTAATAGAACGCCAGTGAAAAACGTTTTTGCAGCCATTTCAACCGGCTACTTTGGAAAATTTCACTTTTTAAAAATAGTTCTCAAAATTAGGTTAAAATACTCAAAAACAACATGGAATAAAAATTGTCGTGAGATTATTCTGACGTTTCACTTGTCAACTGTCACCCTGAAAAATCTTGTACTGCTCAATTAAGAGATGACAACTGTTTGAAATGCTATTCCACTCAGCAAAATATTGATCACATATATAATCCGTTGCAATAGTGCTTGTATAAAATTAATTTAGAGATTCCTAAATTCTGTGGGAAATCTGACAAACGTACAAAATTGCGACATGAACGACACCTACATTTTGCCTTTTGTAGTTGGTTCATATCACAAAACACATAAGACTGATCGTTGATATCTAACCTGGAAATGTCATCTCTTCAAAAAAGGGTCATCCTTGAATTTGTTAAAAAAATTTAAATTTGAATAGACTTTGGATTGGAATAATTAATTTTTGGCAACCGTTATCATTTTAGTAAGTCTTTGACCTCACAGAATCCAAAATACGAAGCATGTCGCTGTGTCAAATCGTGTCGAAATGAGGTTCTTTTTCACTTTTATTTTCGAATGTAGGTATACGGTAAATGATCTCATTATTTAACTTTCCATAAATAAAGAAAATAACGGGTTTTTCTGTTGATTATACGAAATAGTAGTACACCCGTCCACCAATTTTCCGATGATGTTAAAATTGTTTTAACATTGTAGCAGGTTGTATCAAATGTTTAAATGTGATGTAATAGCATTTATTGCAATTTTTAGAACGTGAATTTCATTTGAAGTTAACGATGGGTAGGAGAAAGTTCATATACTAAACTTTTACATGAAATATTTAGACAATAAGCTCAGCAGCAAAATGAGTTTAGCTACTACTTCTAAAAATAGTAATTTTGAAATTGTGTGCAAAAATTTAGTATGCGGGGGTAAGTATGTAAATTGTTATAATTTATCTAAACATATAGTTATTATTGCTTAAAGCCTTTCCTTATATTATAGTTGGATGTCAGATTGTCATTTGTTGAAATTTTTGATACTACCCCAGCTGCCTATAAGTAATTTTTTAATTACTGGGAGTCAAATTAATTTAAAAATCTGTTGAAAACATATTTTGTGGGGCTTTAAGAAATGATTGACATACGAATTCAGTTTGTTGAATCTATTTGAATTACTACTATTATACTTAATTTCAGATTTGAGTCAGTCATGTATTTACATTTTTTGTAAACACTCTGTATAGCTACTTTTTATAGTACCATTTATAAAATCATATTTATACTCTTGGCAAATGTACTATTTTGATATTGTGCTCAACTTATTTTATGATTCCATTGTTAAATTGCAAAACTATTTTTAGGTATAGCTGGTATGATTTCAAAAACAACAGTTGCCCCTTTGGATAGAGTAAAAATTTTATTACAAGCCCAAAGTCATCACCACCAATCACATGGTGTTACAAAGGGTTTGAAACATATTATCCAGAAAGAAGGGTTTTTAGCCCTTTATAAAGGTAATTATATAAAAATAAAACTGACTTTCATATACTTGAATGAATACAATAAAAACATGAAGTGGATATTAGATACATAACATATAATTAGCAACAGTTAACTAACCACATACATGGATGACATCTATTTACAATTTTGGTCAGGTTACTATAAAATTATACTTTGAATAGTTCCACAGTACTTTTTGATGTTTTCAGTATCACATTTGCAAATTATTTTACATTAATCATGCTTTTTGGTTTACTATGTATGTTATATACATTTTTGAAGTCTTGAATAACTTATATAAATCTTGATAATCAATCAATTTTACCTATATGTGGTATAACATTGAATACCAAATACGTGAACATTAAATCGTAAATTTCAGGTCACTATGAGTGCTTTGATATCTATCAAGTGAAATCCCACTACTCAAAAATCTCAATTCTACCACTAATACACCAAACTCAGTATAAGAGATTTGACAACTATTTAACTTCACCACATATCTTCAAAATTGGTGGTAGAAAGGTATTAACAGACACATCAACAGCCAACATTTTTTCTGCAATAGTAGAAGTAATTTCAAGTCCCCTATTGTTTGTGAACAGTAAAACTGGTAAAACAACTCTAAGCAACACTCAAAACAGAGAAATAGATTAGATATTTTGCACATTCCTAAAAAAAACATATGAGTCGTACCTAAATGTAAAGGCGGGTTTACACGTTAGTTTTGTCCAGCATACAAAACGTACGTTTTTTCCAATGTATACACACTACGTGTTTTCTCTTCCCCTTTCTACTACAGTTCCAATCTAGGCTCTTGAGTTGTGTGAAGTTTGTTTAGTGAATTTTATTGAGAGACATATATGTTTTTTATTATGGAGGAAGCACGGCTGCTTTCTTTTATTTAAGAGGGAAAAGACAAGATATCGTCGAGGGAGTGGCTTCTGAAAAGAAGCCAGTAATCCCACGTCTCGTAATTGAAACATTTGAGGAGTGAACTTGACGACTGGCGCAATTATTTGAGAATGGACACCTCAGCCAGATATTTTTGATGGCCTCACGTTTTCAACTAAACGAGAGTATTTTTTTTCCAACAGTTTCTTTATTTGCTATCGGGTCTATTTCTTTCTATTTTTTTATAAGATCCTCATACGCAACTTTTTTTATTACGGTCACTATAGTCTATATTTTTCACTTGCCAGAAACACGGAAAACTTACACATTTCAATGAATTCCCCGAGAAAATCGTAGGCGCACTGCCGCAAGTCTGACATTATTAGTTATTTGGGGAAAAAGGAAGCGAACTGAAGTGGAGCTACTCGTGAACTGCGCCAAAATCGGACGCCTTGTCTGAACATGAGTCTACACGTTTCGTTTTGTCCTATTAGTTCTCGAAAATGATGCTTCTCCCATCAGTTTTTCAATCTGACCTTGGATTTCCTTTCGATTCGACAAGACTTATACGTTTTTCTATTTACATGCCACATTTTATTGGATAGGATGTGTCCTATCCCACAAAACGTACATTAAGACGTAGCGTGTAAACCCGCCTTAAAATCGTTGCCTTGAATATTTTTATCTACTGAAGCTGTAAAAAAAACACGAAATATCGAGGCAGAGGTAGTTTTATCTGATTGGTTGAGCAAAAAAAGTGTCATCCCATATATCGTAAAAAATAAAAAATGAACGCGCGGCTAGCGATGTTTTTGTACACGTATTTTATATAAAACCGCTCCCACAAAATGTGGCGAATGCCTTACAACATTGGACACTTGGCCATTCATGTGGGAAAGCGCTGACGAATTTCATGTGTCCAACGTTCGACACATTCGGGCTCTTGTCGGTAAATTTGACCCGCCTCAAAGAACCTTACGCTCCCATACGAGATGTCATGCATTTTATGGTTTTGGGTTAGAACCAGTAGCGGCAAAAAACATTATTTACTTGTTTGCTGTGATAGTGGTGAAGTATTTTGATTTGAATACCTACCTATCCATAATAATGTATGTTCCGTAACTAACTTTTGAGGAGAATGAATTAAATTAGATATACAGGGTTTGTCCGGAAAGTAATAGGACTGAGTCGATTTAAAAAAAATTATTGAGCCAATCTTTACAATTCTTTAAAAACTTTCAAAATAGGCTCCTTCTGCGTCGATGCAGGCATTCTCCGGAATAGCCTTGAGAGCCGCGGTGCATGCTGCTTGGATCAACTCTCTCGTCTCAAAATGCTTGCCTATCATCGGCCTTTTCAGGCGAGGAAACAAAAAAAAGTCCGGGGGGCCACATCTGGGCTGTAGGGCGGCTGCGGAAGCGTTGGGATGCCGGCCTTGGTCAGGTAGCTGTTTACAAGAAAGGCGGTGTGAGCCGGGGCGTTGTCGTGGTGCAATTTTCAGTCGGCTGCGATGTCTTGTCGGTCCCGACTGACCCTTCGTTTGAGTCTCTTGAGCACTTCCACGTAAAACTTGGCGTTTACGGTTTGTCCAGGAGGAACAAATTCATGGTGGACGATGCCTTTGATGTCAAAAAAGACAATGATCATCGTTTTCACTTTTGATTTGCTCATTCTTCCCTGTTTTGGGCGAGGAGACGCCGTCGTGTGCCACTCGGAAGATTACCTCTTTGTCTCGGGATCATACTCAAAGATCCACGACTCGTCACCTGTGATTACGTTATTCAAAAATTGGGGGTCACTTTCACACATGTTCAAATTTTCTTGGCACACTTCCACTCGCCGCAATTTCTGGTCGTCAGTGAGCACTTTTGGGACCATCTTCGCCGCTCATTCGTTAGCTAGGAACGCCCTCTACCGAATCCAGTCGGGGCGCGCACGCTCCGAAGTACAGTCTTGGCGGAAGAAAATGAGTCCTATTACTTTCTGGACAATCCCTGTATGACATAGACACAGAATTCGGCGTTTTCATGGAACCTTTTTTATGTCATCTCGATATAACTTGCTTTCAAAGAACAGTCACATCGCGCTAAAAAAAAATCAAGCCAATGCATGGGTAGCAGATGCAGTGAAAAATTCTAGTAAGAAGGTTCGAGGACTCCACGACTTATTGAAATAACATAAGTATAACGAATATCTAAGGAAACTGTTTCTGACAGAAAGGAAAGCCCACAAAAAGCTCATTATCAAGTCAAAGCGGGACTGTATTAGTAATAAAATTGTACGCGCCGATAACATGCCGAAAACAGTCTGGGATATAGTCAACTCTGAGCTGTGACACAAAAAACAATACTCACCTATTTCTCTTACCAACGAGAACGACACATTGATTGACACTCCATCATGTGTATCGGAGGAATTTGGCTATATTTATTTAGCTATAGTTATGCCTGTGTTCAAGAAAGGCGATCCTCAGCTAATCGACAACTACCTACCGATCTCCATTCTATCAGTATTTTATAAAATTTTTGAGAAGATAATGCACACCAGAATAACCAATTTTGCAGACTATTCTAATTTACTAAATAATTGCCAGCATGGCTTTAGAAAGTCCAGATCTGTAGAGACGCCGGCATTTGAACTTGTCAGCCATATCAACAAAGAGTTAGACCAGGGAAAATATGTAGCTGGTATATTTTTTTGATTTATCTAATTATATTATGAGTATCAGCATATTAGAGGAAAAGCTGTACATCGTGGGAATCAGGTTTTTTTTATTGAATTGGGGCTTGTCTTTTTTGTCTGAGAGGCACTTGCAAGTTAAAGTGAGCGGTACAGTTTCAAAAAGAGCAAATATTGGAGCTGCTCAAGGATCAGTATTGGCACCCTTGTTATTCATTTTATTTGTCAATGACTTGAGCCTATCTGGCTTGGTAATAAGCTACGCTGTTAATACCTCAGTTGTAAGTGGTACTACATTTGAGGAACGTGTTCGTAACATCACCCTAGTGGAAACTGAAATGCAGCTTTGGTGCCAACAGAATCGTTTGATTTTAAATACCGACAAGACTGTTACCGTTCACTTTAATACTTGTAGGTCACAGCTTCACGACGTCGACACTGACTTGGAGACTTTTCTGGGGATAATTATGGATTCCAAGCTCACTTGGCACATGCATATTGACTCAATATGTAAAACTCTCAACAAGTCATATTTTGATATCTTAAAATTAAAGCACTGTGTAACACAAGCAGTATTGCTTAATGTTTACTATGTGATGGTATACTCTCACCTGTCAATAGCCATAAGCCATAATAGTTTGGGGACAAGCCCGAATTGTGAACAGGGCATTCATAATCCAAAAAAGTATAGTGAGATTAAATTTTAACATACCTGGACGTGAATCTTGTAGGTCAGCATTCAAGAGTAATAATAATCTACTAACACTTCCGGCAGTCTACATCTTTTAACTGCGCTCTATATGCATTCCACAACAAACGTAGGTTTGTTAAAAATAAAGATGTAAATGTTCGTTATAAAACAAGAGCTGGCATGGATTTGAGCATACCATCACATGCATTAACAATGTTTGAAAAGTCACCTGTATAAAAATCTTTAATAAGCTTTCCTCTGAGCTTAAAGGACTTCAGGATGTGATAATACTTAAAAAACGACTGAGGAGGTATCTTGTGGAGCTGTGCCCCTACTCAATAGACTTTTTATGCGTCGGTTATTCATTCTTCATTATATATCATGCATACTATATTTTTAATGTGTCTATTGTTTCAATATGCTATTGTAACCGTTTCATTCAACAATATTCTGTACCGTTTTTTTGTACTCGTTGAATGTAATAAGCACCTAATGTATTACATTTTAGATATTTATGCAATTATTGACTTGCATAAACACAGTTTTGTGTAAAATGCGAATAAACAACTATGACTATGACTTAGGCCTAGGCTGCCATAACAACACTTTGCTAATATTTCACACGTTTCGCAGGTGAGTTATGCCTGGCCTAAGTATATGTATTTTAGTAAATTATAAATTATCAAGTGCTTACAGTTGTGTCATTATAATGTCCTGTTGCAATGCAAGACTACTTGAGAAAAATATTGACTTGCATTTTATAACTAACGAAAAAGATTAAATAACTGATAACTCTAAAAGTACTATCGGGATTTTGATGAAATTTTTATCCTAGGTTACTACTATGAAAATGAAGAAAAAGCTCAGTTTTTGAAAATCGGTACAGTGGCGGAGGAGTTATAGTCGAAAAACAAACAAAAGAAGGTTAAACTTCGTTTTCCGACATTTATGAGGCAGATGATACCTTTCTCTGATTGGTTAGCTGTTAGCCAATAATAGATTTTCGTGTTTGACTAACAAAATCAATTTAAATAATTGTTTTCTAACAAAAGTATTTTATTTTCAAAAAGTATTTTGTATCTGGGATCCGAAATATTTAATTAGGACATCTTGTACATCACTGTTTCCAAATGACATTTTGCCGTTCTTCGGCGACAAAGTAGCAAATTCGCTCACTCTGATATCTTCTTAAAACTGTTTACAGGCTCTATTTTTTATTAACTTGTAATTTTTTTTTCAGGCAATGGAGCTCAAATGGTGCGAATTTTTCCTTACGCAGCTTCCCAATTTACGGCATTCGAGATATACAAAAAGTACCTAGATGGAATTTTCGGACAAACGTCCCACATAGATAAATTCGTAGCGGGTGCCGGTGCAGGTGTCACGGCAGTTTTTCTTACTTACCCTTTAGACACAATCAGAGCAAGACTGGCTTTTCAGGTTAGTTACAAAAAAATCTCAAACATTAGAGTAGATTCTTTGGATACTTTGCGACCACCGTATTGCTTGACGATTTTCAAAAAACCGTTACGTTGTGAATAATATACTAAGTGACATATAAATCCGAACACCCAGTTTAAATGGTTTTATTTTAATAAAAGATGGTGAATGTATTTATCTTACTGTAAATAACAAGTGAAAAAATTTTCAGCCTTATCAGTTGGACATTGCGGTTCAAAGAATCTACGTTGGCGGATTTTGGTTCTTGACATCCTTTACGATCGGTTACGATGCCTAGAGTACGGAGACCTGTACGATTTCTTCAACTTAGTGAGTTTGATAGGGGCCGTATAGTGGGACTTCGGGAAGCTGGACTTTCTTTTCGGGCAATTGCAGTTAGAGTGCAAAGAAGTGTAGACACTGTGGTTAGGTGTTGTCAGGCATGGCTTCGAGAATGCCGTACGCAAAGAGCAAGGGGCACTGGACGCCGCCGTAGAACAACAGACCGTGAAGATCGCCGCCTAAGATTATTGACCTTAAGGGACCGTTTCTCCACTACCAGGTCCATTGCAAATGAATGGTTTGCAGAACACGGAAGACCTATTGGCATGTGAAGTGTTTACCGACGAATGAGAAGTTTTGGCTTGTTTTCATTCCGGCCACACTGGGTCCTCCCTTTAACTCGAGAACACCGACGTAATCGCCTTGAGTGGTGCAGACAACGGTCACTCTGGGATCAGAAATGGAACAGTATTGTCGTTAGTGACGAGTCTCGATTTTGTTTAGGCATGCACGATGGTCGTGCCAGGGTTAGAAGGCGACGTGGCGAAAGGAGGAATCCACAGTTTTTTGTTGAAAGACATGTTCATCACACAGTTGGAGTTATGGTTTGGGGTGCTATAGCTTATGGTTCCAGGTCACCTTTAATCTTCATCAGAGGTAACATGAACGCGCAGCGTTATATCCACGAAGTTCTAGAACCCCATCTTTTACCCTATCTTGACACCCTGGCAGATCCAATTTTCCAACAAGATAATGCCCGACCACATGTTGCAAGAGTCACAATAGACTTCTTTCAACATAATGATGTCACATTGTTACCATGGCCACCAAGATCTCCCGACTTATCCCCAATTGAGCACGTGTGGGATATGATGGGTAGGAGATTGCTCAATTTGCAACGTCCTCCTCAGACTCTAGAAGCACTTCGAGAGGAGTTGGTGGTTGCCTGGAATGAGATACCACAGGAGGACATTGACCACCTGATCAGAAGCATGCCTAGGCGCGTTGGAGAATGCGTAGCACACCAGGGTGCATCCACACATTATTAAAGGTCAAAGGGCTTTAAAGCAGAGCAATCATTTTGAAATTTTTATCATTTACTTATTATTCTTCATTAAGTACTTATACAAAATTTTATTAAAATAAAACCATTTAAACTGGGTGTTCGGATTTATATGTCACTTAGTATATTACAGTTTCAAGGTTAACATATTTCTTTCGCTATTTTTCTAAAATATCAAAAATTTCAGAAATCGATAGCAATAGAATTTTAGAAGAGAAAACCTAGAGGAACAGAATTTTTACAATATTTATCTCGTTTTGTTAGAATTTTCTTTCAAAAACATCTTGCGTGACCAGTAAATTTGGTACATATCTCGGTGAAAAATGTATCGAAATAAAAAAAAAACAAATAGGAGGAAATTAAGTGATGAGACTGATTTTTTTAAGTTATTTACTGAAATATAATTACAGTTTTATATTGTCACCCTCAAAATAACTTCCTTCTGGAGCCACACAGCGCTGGAATGGCCTTCAGCTGGTCGGTTATAGCCATTTGATTGCTTTTGACTGTCCGAAAATGAGTTCCTTTGAGATGGTCTTTCAACTGGATGAGAAAAAAGTCACAAGTCAGGCGAATAGTAGTAGTAGTAGAAAGATTTATTTAGCACATTTGGCTACATAAACAGAATAATTGTAAACAACTTAGAACTAGTAAATTCAAGCCATATGGTGTATGATGTAAATGCTGGGCAACCTATAATTGTAGATTTAACAAGTGATTTCTCAATTTTACTTTAAATTTTGTCAAAGTTTTCTGGTCTTTTATCTCCGAGTATAATTTATTATATTCAATCAACCCTTGATGGAATACAGATTTGTAGCATATGTTATACTTTTTGGTCATTAAATGGAAGTCATCTTTATTTCTGGTATTATGTAAATGATGGTCGACATTTGATGATGTTAAATTAGTTAGACTTGATGGAAATATATTATTTTTTACTTTATAAATAAATATCATTACAAGATATTTGATAAAATTTTTTACATTGAGCCATTTTAATTTGCTAAGAATTTGCTTAATTGGAGTATATTTATCTTTATTTAGTATTATTCTCATGCACTTATTTTGTAAAATTTGCAGTCTTCCAAAAATGGAATTATTTGCTAAATATAGAATAGTCGAACAGTACAAGAAATTTGGAAGCATGATGGTATTATAGATAATTTTTCTGCTATATGAACTCAGACATCCAGAAACTCTCGATAAATCCCACTTTACTACTAATTTTATTTATAACTTTTTCATAATGAATATCAAAAATTAATCGAGAGTCAACAAAAACCCCCAGGTATTTAAAATTTTCTACGAATTCAATATCTTCACCATCAATATTCAGTTGAACATTTGTACATTGTTTTTTTCCGATTAACATGGCTTTCGTTTTACTTGCATTCAATTTTAGTCTGTTAGATGCTAACCATTTTGAGACAAGCTTCAAGTCTTCATTTATATAAGAGATACCAGACTGTATATTTTTAGTACTTATATAAATCATAGTGTCATCGGCGAAAATCTGAATTTTGCATTTTTTGACTATGGCAGGTAAATCATTTATGTATAAAATAAAAAGAAGTGGTCGCAGGATACTGCCCTGTGGAACACCCAACGTATTTTCAATTTTTGATGAAATAGTGTCATTAACTTTTGTAACTTGCATCCTTTTAGACAAATAATTTCTAAACCAATCTAAAACACTTCCTGTTATACCATATGCCTTAAATTTACCTAACAAAATATCTCTATCAATCGTTTCAAATGTCCTCTTCAAATCCAAAAATACTGCTATGACAACTTCTTCTGAGTCTATGGCTCTTCTCCAATTCTCAGTTACCAACTGGAAAGCTGTTTCTGTGGAATATTTTTTCCGAAAGCCTGCTTGCGCCTCCACTAAAATTTTATTTTCTTCTATAAACTGCATTAATTGGTCATGCACTATGGACTCTAATAATGTTTCAATGTCTGGTAACACATTTACTGGTCTCATATCGCTGAATCTTTTAGAATTTTTTATTTTGAGAACTGGTGTTATTGTAGAGCATTTCAAATTTTCAGGAAAAGAACTGCTTCTCAGTGAACAATTGATCCAATTTAATACAGGATATCCCAAAATTTCGAAACAGTTTTTCAGCACGTTTTTAGTAGTGATTTCGGCCCAGTTGTTGTTTGATTTTAAGCTGTTTACTTTTTTTCTTAGATAATTCAATGATACGCTGTGAAATTTTGAAAGTGTATGCAACATTTCCCCCTGGAAACTGATTTTCATATATAGAATAAGGAGGCTGAGGAGCCACGGGAATGTTTTACTCGTTGTGCTGTGTAACAAGGGGCATTATCGTCATGCAAGATCTGATTAGCGGTATTGTTAGTCAAACTTAACTCTTACCCGATCATTCTGACGTTCAACCGACAATCTGAACGCACAAGATCCCGGACTCTGTCAACATTTTCATCGCTTCTTGAAGATGAAGGCCTTCCGCTTCGTAGTTCATGTTCATTCGACTCTGTCCCTTTTGAAAATGCCTTAAACCACCGAAAAACCTGAACTCTTGACAAAACAGTATCTCCGCAGGCGTGAAGGTTAACAAGAGTTTCCGTTGTACTGTGCTCAAGTCTGAAGCAAAACCATTTTTAGAACATAATGGAAAAAAATTGTCAACTTGAACTGAAAGCGGATCACATGTTTCCCTGTCTACAAACCAATGTTGCCAGATCGAACGCTCCGTTGCCAGTCTCATCACTTAATTTACAGACCTCGTACTCTAAAAATATCTTATTTTGATTGTATCGCTAATATTCGTACGTGCTATGCCAGTTTAATACCTTAAATCTGTTTTTCCGTAAGAGTCAGTTTGATTTTGAGAACTTACAGAAAATTGCATGTACCTCATCATAGGGATCTTGGAAATGCTAAGAGACTCGAACTCGTTCAAATGTGTAAAAAGCTCCGCCTTTAAGTAACTAAGAAAATGACATTTCTAAAGTTTCGCTATTAATATTGTCACTTTTTTCTCTACAAAATGGCATGATTAAAATTTCAATATGACGTTTTTATCTAATTCTTCTTCTTGAATACCCTAATGATCGACATAGTGTTGGAAACGGCTTTTAATGTTAACAAAAAGAAGACGTACTGGATTCTGAGCGTCGCATTGATTGTTGTCATCAAATATGTCAGGGCTTTCGGCGAGAGCAGCTTCAACGTCTTGTTGGTGATTTGATCCTCCCCAGGTGCTTTCCGTACATTGAGATCTTTAATATGACTGGTGTACAATGTGGAAACTCGGAGGGTTCCGCTAATGTGCTATGTGGAGCCTTCGACGAATCTTCGGAAGAAGTGTCATCTGAAGAGGATTCAGTGCCTCCGCTAACGCCGTTGGCCCTAAAATATCTCCTGACGGATCGTACGATGTGCTGTTCCTCGTCGAGGTCATTATCGAGATCATAGTTGGGAGAGAACTGTTTTTCCATGGCATCAGCGAAACCCTCGACCTTACCCTCCGTTCTGAAGACTACGCCTTCAGGACCGTGGATGTGCGGGAGATGTTCTCGCTTTCCATTTCTGAGTGACTTTGCGACCCTCCAGAGAGGAATACTTGAATCAAGCATTCCCGCCAGAAAGACGCTCCATTGCTCGTTGCGGATTTCGAGCGAT